GACTCCCGTCAGGCTGAGCCACCACTGGACCCCAGGGAAAGTCACCCTTCTGCAAAAGGTAGGAAACAGGAAACATTTTGTGTGTGTGTGTGTGTCTGTATGTGTGTGTGTGTCTGTGTGTATGTGTCTCTGTATGTGTGTGTGTCTGTGTTTATGTATGTATGTATGTGTGTGTTTGTATGTGTCTGTGTGTATATCTGTCGAGAGGGTGTATGTGTGTGTCTGTATGTATGTGTCTCTGTATGTGTGTGTGTGTGTGTATGTATGTGTCTGTGTGTGTCTGTCGGGGGTGTGTGTGTATGTGTCTGTGTGTATGCATGTGTGTCTGTCTGTGTGTATGTATGTGTGTTTCTGTATGTAAGTATGTGTGTGTTTATGTATGTGTCTGTCGGGCGTGTATGTCTGTATGTATCTATCTGTATGTATGTGTGTGTTTGTATGTGTCTGTGTGTATATCTGTCGAGAGGGTGTATGTGTGTGTCTGTATGTGTGTGTGTATTTATGTGTCTGTGTGTATGTCTGTCGGGGGGTGTGTGTATGTGTGTATGTGTCTGTGTGTATGCATGTGTGTCTGTCTATGTGTATGTATGTATGTGTGTTTCTGTATGTAAGTATGTGTGTGTGTATGTATGTGTCTGTCGGGGGGTGTATGTCTGTATGTATCTGTCTGTATGTATATGTGTCTGTCTGTGTGTATGTGTCTGTGTGTGTGTGTGTCTGTATGTATGTGTTGGGGTGCCATGGATCAGGGGGAGAGAGGAGAGAGGCAAGGGAATGAAGGGAGGGGGGATGGGACTACGGATCAGTTTCGCACCGGGCCCCATGGATTGTGTGTACTAAGGCTAAGCAGAGGAGTTATGCCACACTCTCCAGATTTTATACCAAAGGTAATGTGATGCCGGATAACATATTCCTATAATACAAAATATTTGTACAACATCTGCCATGATATAGGACCACACAGTAGTATAACAGTACTATACGATACGACAATACTAAAATATGTAGAAATGGTAAATATCAAGTATTTTTTTCCTCATAACCAAACTTTGGCATTGGCATACTTTTAAGGATATGAATATAGTCTTTGATTGTAGATTATGCTAGCTTTAGTGTACCTATAATCTTAATTTTATTAATGACAGGAGGCGAGTATTTGCTTAAGTCTCTCTTTACTAGAACTCCACAACTCCACAGCAGCACAGAAAAAACAACCAATCAGAAAAAAGTTAGGTACTTTAAAACTCCCCTCCCCATGCATCATTTCCTCTTTCAAGCTGCGACAAAAACAGAACAAAAGGCAGAAAACCTAATGGGGAAGAAACGAAGTCCTAGATACAATGAATACAACAATGTCCACTATCCGAGAAGAACTGTCAAACCAGATAGCATTGATGGACTGTAAACTGAAACGAGAGAAAAACAGAATCGAACAGGTTGGTTATCCAATGAAATGTACTCTGAACAAACATGTAGGTACCCAATGTAGTAACCAAAAGTACCTTAATATGTAGATATCCCAACCCTACTTATGAAAAAACAGACATAAGAACAGGTGACAGGTAGCAGGGACAACAAGCAGAGTTGCATACGTACCTGATGAACCCAAACTATTAAGTTAAACAAGGGAGGTATAAGAATGGGCGGGAAATGCTTGCCTCCTGTCATTAATAAAATTAAGATCATAGGTACACTAAAGCTAGCATAATCTACCATTTTATAACATGACAGGAGGCTTTGTATTTGCGCTTTTAACGTTCAGCCAACAAATCCAATGCTGTTTGTTTCGCTGGTACCTAGTCTGGGATATACTAGAGCAGTCATAACTGGATCTTCCATCAGAGAGAAGTGGCATTGGACAGATCGACGAAGATGCCAGCTGTAGAGGCACCCCAAAATACAGAAAAGACATCCTCCACTGGTAGATCCATTGTATGTGGGGTTGTGACCTGTTTCCTAGTGACTGATCCATGAGCTGCCAAGCTGACCTATTAGCCATTTTCCTGTAGGTGTAAAATGCCAAAGGTCATTTGCGGACTTAGGGCCGCGGGGAGAAACTGCCACCAGGTCTCGACTCTTGATGTGGCAGATGGCTCCTCCGATCGTCCTGGTCACCAGTTGATGTGGCCCTGCAGGCAAATCTCCAACCTCGAGTAATGCGTCAAAGTCTACCCCCAATTCTGTAACAGAAACAGAGTAGGTTCATTTCGTTCCCACACGACCTAACCGGTGAGTTGTCTCATCCAAGAATGATTTTATTATGCAGGCAAGGGTGCGGTCAAACTAGCTGTATCCTAAGTGATTCTAGTACTCCAAATGGATTGTGTAACCCGCGACTGCGGTAGAGAAGGAACTCCTGAAGGATGTCCAATGAGGGTCCCAATTGAGCTTGTGTAGTGAAACGGTGGTCAACCATCCTGGGCATCGTGAATCCCGGGAATATCCAAAAGGAGAGAAACGTAACCAGGGGTGAGGTTTACATCCATCTATATTGTCGAAGAGCAGTAAGATGTCCGGATCCCATGGTAATTGGGACCTATATAGCAAAGAAGAGTCCTCATATGCTGTAGTGAGAGTGTGAAAGAATCAGATTACTCGTTTGTATAATCCTGTTCCCTGTCCGACCTGTCAAGATCCATGTAGGAGCTTCTGGTCTGCACGCCACCTACAAGATAGGGTATAATACAGTGAGACTCTAGGTCCCTGAACTTCTGACTGTCCGGGCACGCATCTCCAAGAATAGGCCCTAGGTCAAAAGGACCCAGAAAAGTGAATTTGAGAACCAAAATCGAGGTATCCCAATAGATGAATACCTCCTATCTAGCCTGGAGTCCCGCGAACTCATAGCGTTCTCTACTACACAGGCAAGACCCAAAGTCTCTTCACTGATGACAGGTGACTCCAGAGAGCAGATATAATGAAAAACAAGGATCTGAAGCAGGCGTTGTCCAGTTTGGGAACATCGTCAGCCATATCCAAGCCTGCTACACAACCTGAGCAGTACTCCAGCGGTAGGTTGCGTCCCGGCTAGCAACGTCTGTTTATCGCGAATTTCATTGGGACTTAATGAAACTCACCTCCAACAAATCATTACTCGCAGAATACTAAGTCCATTTCAGCATTTCAGTTTGCGAGCACAGAGGGAGTCTCTATGATTATGGTTATTGACAAGAGGGGTTTCCTCCTGTATGTCTTTCATATACTTATGTTTTTGGAGTCAGGACTTTCCCTGTATACTCCCAACATCGGACTGTGTGATCTACCAGTCTTGTTCACTGTGGTTATAAGTATACAGAGGGAAAGTGTATAAATTTATACTTCCCCTCTGGAGACATTCTCCTATGATAGTCTGTAAGCTCGTTTGAGCAGGGTCCTCTTCAACCTATTGTTCCTGTAAGTTTTCTTGTAATTGTCCTATTTATTGTTACACCCCCCCTCTCAAAATATTGTAAAGCGCTACGGAATATGTTGGCGCTATATAAATGGCAATAATAATAATAATAATGATACACTGTATACTTTAACAAGCTGGTGGTCTGCCAGCTTTAATGACACATTGGGTATGTCTCTTCTCCATAGTGAACGAACGATGGAGGATATAAGGAATTCATAAGTCCTGGAATCTAAATGTGGAGTGTAGGGTAGGAGTGTTTAACTGTCCAGCGGATGTCCCCCCTCTGTTTACTGAACGATTGTTGTTTTACTTCGATCGTGTAGTAGAGTCTAGGGGTGGTGCATCTGCTGCTGCATATCCCTCCCTTCTCTCCACCTCAATATGAGTGACCTAGGTCTCACCCAATGATACCTTGGTTGTAGCGATGACGCTGTTGAGGAGGGGTGGCGACTACGTCAGATACCCAATCCCCCTCCACACGCCGGACAACCTGGAGTGATTTACCTCGGATTAGTCTTCAGGAGGATGTTCACATTAGCTCCTGATGACGGCGTGTAAGCACACCGAAACGCGCGTCGAGCGCTTGTTTTAATTTTATTTATGTTTTGTCAACACTAGGTAGCACTTAGGTAGTCAGTATGCTTTTCATCTAGTTAGTCAGTTTAGTTAGCCTTTTTTGATTTTGATTTTTTGAGGGTACTTTTCGAGGCAAGTCCTCCTCAGGTTGGGAGGAGGAGGGGTTTTTTTTCTGTACCGAAGGTTTGCCCATACAGGAGCTGCCCTGACTCTCTCCCCCCCCCCCTTTTTCTTATTTTTTCCTTGTGTGGGGATTCTTTGACCTGCCTCTAGATTAGTGGGGTACTATATAGATACATATACTGGCTATACTCCTGTGGAACCCTAGAAGTGGACACTTGTATCACTGTGTAGGGTTCACCCCCCTACTCCACTTTTGCTGCATATCTACTAGCGGCCTCTGCCTCTCTCCTTTTCATCATTATCTGGCTAACACACTGTTTTGTTTTCTGTGTTCAGTGGCTACTCCAGGGATCCCCTTGTCTTAAGGGTCTCCGCTTCTGTTTATATTTTTCTTGGGTTACCCCCTATACTGTAGCCCTGAGGTAGGCTCTCTACAAAGTAGTTTTCATCACCTCACATGTCTTTATGAGTGTGCTGACCTATCTTTGTACATTTCTATTCATTAAAGGTAAATACATACCTCGGAGAAGGTAAACAGTAGACCGGAAAAGCAAGTCAAGTAAACCCCTGCAAAGGGGCCAGAGGTTAAACATGACGCAGGAATAACTACTGATACCAAAATGGATACTGGAAGGCAGTTAAATGGTAAGTTGCTAAGGACAAGGAAACACTGTGCTCCCCTGTTGGCGTCTGAGCACTGGTCCCTGCCTGTGCGGAAAACTTTTCCTTGGAGATGTGCCACCGTCGGGTTGGTGTAAACCGTGGTTGCATGCCTGGGAAAACGTCATAAAATCCTTGCCTCTCAGGGCATGAGGTTTAGGGCCTTCACCCTTCCAATCATACTCTGGTGCCCATTTACTGGTGTCCTCCTGGATGGTATGGCAGCAGTGCTTGCCAGGACACACATCTCCATGTCAATAATGGGCACTGAGCTTCCTCCGTGTAATACTCCCAGGCCTGCAGCCAAAGGGGTTCGGGCACAGATAGCTCAGGCCAACAATGGGCACAGATAGAGCAGGCCCGTCAATAGGGCACAGACATAGCAGGCCAGTCAATGGGGCACAGACATAGCAGGCCAGACGAATGGGCACAGACATAGCAGGCCAAACAATGGGGCACAGGCATAGCAGGCCAGTCATAAGGGCACAGACAGAGCCGGCCATACACAGGTGTTGCGTTCCGACGGTTGCAAGGGCCAATCTGCATGGCTAGAGTCCTCTATGTATGTGTTATGGAAAACCAGAGAACCTGGGGTTAAAACTCCACTCCATAAACCCAGGGTAGTAATGTGCCTATAATACTATGCAGGGAACTGGGAAACCCTGTAGCAGTCTAAATCAGAGCTATCCAAGCTGCAGGAAAGCTCAGAGCAGTACATTGGGTACTGCCAATAGGCTGGTATCCAGCCCAGTAAAATATATATATATATATATATATAAACATGTAAATCTCATAGACAAGTGTCACTTATAATGTCCCTTATAGAATGGTTCAAGCCCATAGCTGCATTCAGTCACTATGAGAAACTAATCTGACATGCAGTGAATGGCCTGTATACATTAAACTTGTAGCACAATTGTATGTGAGCATATTTATTTCCCATGTACAGATTTGTGCAGTAGATGAGCACTGAGCCTGGTGGAGGCCAACCTCCAACAAGCAATGTACCGACGGGGGAGGGGCCGCGAGCGGTCGCCCTCTCCCCCGGTCGCACACATGGGGTCTGGGGCGGAGGCAGCCACGGTGAAGCGGCCATGCGGGTAATCGTGCTCGCTCGCGAGTACCCCTGCCCCCGGGCAGAACACACGGGACCCACGCGGTCCACGGGCAGAGGCGGCGAAGCAGCCACACGAGGCAAGAAAATCCGGCCGCCGGGTACTCGTGCCGCACACGAGTACCCCCACGACCAGAAAAAACACATGGGACTGCTGGAAAAGAACTCCACGGTCCCTGAGCTCTGGGGCTCGAAGGAGGCAGATGTAGTCAGCCTCCTGAAGCCGCCTGAGCGGCACACACACTGCCAGGCAAAGGCGGAAGATACATAGCACAAAAACGGGTACAAACCAAAAATGGAAAACGGACGGGGGGAGACAAGTCCAAGGAAAGACAGCAAGGACCCTAAAGACCCCCCACATATCCACACAATAATAGGTAAATACAGTGATAGCCTGAAGTTACAGGTAACTAGGAAAATCCCACAAAGATATGACAAAGCTGTAATAGGAATAAAATCCCACCATGTCCAATACTGAATACATAACAATAAAATCTCATGAGGGTAAAATAAATTACTGAATATATAAGACTAAATCCCACAAGGGCAATCTACAATATAGAATATAAAATACTGTATATAAGCAATAAATCCCAAAGCCCCCAACTAATATAAGCAGGAGGCAGTGGTACTCTGACCTGTACTGATGTGGAGCAGCAAAGAAAGAGGGAATGATGCATGGGGAGGGGAGTTTTATAGTGCCTAACTTTTTTCTGATTGGTTGTTTTTTCTGTGCTGCTGTGGAGTTGTGGAGTTCTAGTAAAGAGAGATTTAAGCAAATATGAAGCCTCCTGTCATGTTATAAAATTGTAACCAAACACAAATAAGTTTTTTAATGAAGAAGCACACATCATAAATCAAGGGAAAAATACAAACAATGCGTGAAAAAGCAATAAAATTACCACTACAGTTGACATACATGTATGATAAAATAGTATGAGTAGGCTTTTTTGTGGTAAGGTTCATCATATCTTATTTACAAACATTTAGCTTTGGGGCGTAGCTTGGGCCAGTGACTGACATGCCCACCATTTAAAGGTCTTCCAAAGCTTTTCACCAGCTACAATGCAAAAACGTAAAGAGTTTGGACAGTTCACAGCTGAACTGCACCAAAGAAATATCAGATACCAATGGGGATTTCCTGTTAAAATTTTGTTCCGCTTAGAGGAGCAACAGTATGTGATTACTATACCTGAAGAAGAACGGGAAGTTCTGCAAACTCTACATTGATGAAATCCAGAGACTCCTCAGGCCCAAGTTCTGCTGACTCCACAGCCACCAAGAAAAATGAGGAGAAAAGAGGCAATTTCTCATTAAGAGTGACTGATAAAGAGGCTGTAACTCCTGTTCTTTGGTTCCTGCTTCCTGGTCCCTGTTGCTCATTTCCTGTTGCTTGATTCCTGGTTTCTGTCTCCTGGTTCCTGCTTCCTGGTTCCTGATCCTTGGTTTCTATTTCCTAGCTCTTGCTTTCCACTTCCTGGTTCCTGTACTTCGTGTTGGATGTCACAAACTGTATGAACTGTTGCATTCTGTCTCAGTTGAATACTGATATTTTTCTCTTTATTTCTTCTCAGTTTTGTGATGAACGATGTTCCTTTTTTTCCCCAAAATATTTTATTTCTATGGAAAAAAATTATTTCCCCTTCATTTCATATAAGCCAGTGTCTCTGGTCCTCTCTTCCCCCCAACATAGGCCTGTATATTTTGGAAGTGGGGAAATTTTTTACTTCCCCTCTCATGGTCTTATTTTTTGTATATATTTTATTTTTTAATTTTTTTACCCCATTTTGGGGTTTTTACCCAAGTTTTTTTTCCCCATTTTGTATTTTTTTATTTTGTTATATCTGTTTTTACTTTTTTCTGTTTTTTTTTTTTTAATTCTTTATTTTTTCATCTTGGCAGAAGTATCAGTTCTTTCTCACACTGCTCTTATAACTGTCCACCAAGGGTTTTTTTTGTTTTCCATAAAATAGAACAAACAATGCACACTGTTGCTTCTGCACATTATATACTGCCTCACTTTCTGGTTCTCTCTAGCTGTGTCAGCCTTTTAGTGTGGCTTCACATACCCATCCTATGCTATCCTATTCCCACATATAGTATGGGATAAAGGATAGTTAAGAGGAAAAAGAGAAAAGAAGGAGAAAGATAGACATTTAGAAAGAGGGGGGGAGATGTCGGTGTGGGATGCGGGAGGGAGGGGAGGTCGGTGGGTCCCTAGTACTGCAAGCTTGTCTTTCTCTGGGATCATTGTTGGGTTGGGTTTTCTGTCAGGACTCTGCAGTGTTGTCCAAGGGTTCCCATATTCTCTGGAACGCTGCGTGGTCCATTTGACCCTAGCTGTTAAGTCGTCCATTAGTTTGCTATCTTTGATCATAGAGATTACTCCCGAAAAAGTCGGGCCCTCTGGGGTTAGCCATGCCGTTGCTATCATCCTGCGCGCTTAATGTAATTTTGTGCAATAGCTTCTGTTCCCTCCTGTTCCATCCCTCCACGGACCTATTTAGTAAGGTATACCCACGGGTCTAGGGCTGGTGAACGGTCGAAGATCTGCACCAGCAAGTTCTGGTGTAACATATTCCACTGGGAATTGCATGTGCTTCAATAGAGCGAATAGATAAGGCCACTGGACCACTGGACCCTATCAAAAGCCGTCTATGGAAAAGGCCAGTGTAGGTGTCACGGTAATCTCCCGTTTCCAGATTAAGTCGACATTCCTTCTCATATTCTTGAAAAGTTGTCTACCAGGAATAAATCCGACTTGGTCTGCATTGATAAACGAGTTTAGAAGGGGGTTTAACCTATCTGCCTGTATCCTAGCCAGTATCTTCATGTCGTGATTAATGAGCAATCTCTGTAGTTTTCCGGATGGAGCAGATCTTTATCAGGTTTCAGCAGCAATACGATTGTGGCTAGAGACATATCCGGGTCCGGGGCGGATGCTCGTCTTCAGCTCGCAAAAAACTTCACTAGCCTCGGTGTAAGATCTTCTCGAAAGGTCTTATAATATGCTCCGTGGAACCCATCGGGTCCCGGTGCTTTGTTCCTGCTCAGGCCCGAGATGGCCCTGTCCACACCTTCCTCCGTTATCTCTGCCTCCAATGTAATCCTAGTCTCTCTCGACAGCTCGGGTAGCACCGGTACTTCCAGGAAAGGATCCAGTCTTCTTCATGGGCGTCGTGTGGTCCGGTCTTCGGAGTGTGGTTGTATAAAAGTTTGTAGAACTCCTCGAATACTGCAGCGATATCCTTTGGGTTTGTTTTTATTGAGCCGTCCGGGTGTTTTATAGCCGTGATGTGGGACCTTTCCTGCCGGGGTCTAAGCGTTCTTGCAAGAAGTGAGTCCATTTTATTGGTTTAACGGATTCTAGTTGTTGAAAGGTTTCGTCCTCTGGCATCATTTGATGTCGTAGTTCAAGTGTTCTAAGCTGGGCCATGAGAGTGTCCAACAGTTGGAATTTTATTTTCTTCTTCCTAGTTGCTAATTTAAAGGACCACTCTAGGCACCCAGACCACTTCAGCTTAATGAAGTGGTCTGGGTGCCAGGTCCTTCTAGGGTTAACCCATTTTTTTTATAAACATAGCAGTTTCAGAGAAACTGCTATGTTTATTAATGGGTTAAGCCTTCCCCCTAATCCTCTAGTGGCTGTCTCATTGACAGCCACTAGAGGCGCTTGCATGCTTCTCACTGTGATTTTTACAGTGAGAGCACGCAAGCGTCCATAGGAAAGCATTGTAAATGCTTTCCTATGCGACGGGCTGAATGCGCGTGCAGCTCTTGCCGCGCGTGCGCATTCAGCCCAGGAGGAGGAACGGAGGAGGAGAGAAGGAGGAGAGCTCTCCGCCCAGCGCTGGAAAAAGGTAAGTTTTTACCCCTTTCCAGAGCCGGGCGGGAGGGGGTCCCTGAGGGTGGGGGCTGAGTATGTTTTCCTGGCACTATAGTGGTGCTTTAATGAATGCTCCCCTCACTACTGATTTATGTGCTGCCCAGACCGTGCTCATCTGCATCTCTGGAGTGTCGTTTATGCAAAAGTATTCTAGTATCTCAGTCCGAATTTGTTCTGTTTTTTTCTGTCTCGGAGTAATGAGTTGTTTAATTTCCACGTCCAAGGGTAAGCAGCGCATAAGTTTCCTAACATGATGTATGCCTCTGCATGGTCTGACCATGATATATTTCCCAGTGCTGACTTAGTTATTCTCGCCATTCCGATCGCATTCACCAGGAACATGTCTATCCTAGAATACGTTCCGTGAGCTATCGAGTAAAAAGTATAGTCCTTGTCTCCTGGGTGTTGTGCACGCCAGACATATATTTGGTCTGTTGTCTGGCCTTGAACAACTTATCCTGTCCCCCTCTCCCTTGAGATCTGAGGCCTCTGTTTTTCGTACTTCTATCTACCGCCGGGCACAGCACCGCGTTAAAGTCGCCTCCAGTGATAAGCATTCCATGCGGGAGAGCTGCTAATTTTTCCTTCAGTTTTGCCCAAAACTCTGAAACAGGCTCGTTCGGCACATATACGTTAACTAGTTTTACAGTGTGCGAGTGCAGGGTACCTGTAACTATTAAAAATCTGCCGTCGGGGTCTGCCTCTTAGAAGTAATGCGGAATAGGTAACCGTTTCAAACCAGTATAGCCACTCAAAAGACACCGGGTACGTATGGTCCCTTAATCTGAAATTCGCTTGGTTTGGCAAATGAGTCTCCTGAACAAAGGCCACATCCGACTTCATCCTTTTTAATTCCCTGAACAGCAGTCTACATTTCCTAGGCAAATTAAGGCCCTTAACGTTCAACGTGGTGATATTTACAGCCATGACTGGTCTCCTAGTACCCTGCCAAACAGTACACCTGTACCTGCTCCGTGCACCCCTAGGCTCTCTAATCCGTCTGTCTTTCCATCGACAGTCGCTCCCCGACCCCCCCCGAACCCACCCGCCCCCGACGCCCCCCCAGAATAGACACTTAAGAAGACAAAGAAGAATAAAAGAATAGATAGAGAAGAAGAATACTGAGCCAACGTACACCATCATATTCGTGTTTGGTCTGGTCTTATCTGTCGCCAGACTCCTGCGGGGTGCACGATCCAACCTCTCCCCTGCGATCAACACCAGTAAAAGCTGTGGAACCATGAGCCCTGATTCGCGTGAGCCATTTATCCTCCCACAAAAAATTTAACTAGTACAAACCTCCGGGCCATCATATCGCCCGTTTGACCCTTACAACCCGGTACGTAGCCCCATAGAGGACTTCACTTAACGCTACCCTGAGCTTT